AATTAGAAAGCAATGGGTTTCTTGCTTCTGCTACAAATTCCCTCAGCTGTAAGCCTTCCAACCTTCTAAATATTCCTTTATATGTGGTTCAGAGGTCTGGCATCATCCCCTGAGCCTGCTTGGTCCAGTATTCTGTGTTGTTGCTGGCAGAGCTCCTCACTGCACTCCTACCTGATCCGCCATCTTGTTTGTTCTCTCTCTTACTGTTCTTACGAGGAGACTAAGCAGTCTGACCTGGCCTTTCCCAGGCTGCCGTCAGGCTTTCTCTGCTCCATCCATACAAGTACTCTGCTCCCCTTCTGCCAGCATAGTATATACACTCCCTTGCTGTTCCTGCATGAATCGCACTTCCCTCTTGTCTTCTACTTAACTCCTACTTACCCCTCAGATCTCAGCAGGTCTCAAATCCTTTCCCCATTCTCCTTGATCATGTAAAAATCTATAAATTCTGTTGCCCCGCATATTTATTTGTATTTAATTCATGTATTTTCTTTACCAGACAGCAAATTTCACAAAAAGAGAAATTGTATCTTAGTCCTCATTGTTAGTCATGTTCTGCATGGTTATTGTGTACCTTTGAGTCAAATTTGAGTTTCCACAGGAGCAGAAAGCTTCATTATTCTCTGGAAGAACGTGTATATGCTGCCAAGGATGCTTCTACACCTAGTTGTTAGTTCTGACTTATAGTGAAGCTGTATAAAGTTTCTGAGGAGCGTGGGTTTGAACCTTGCAGTTAGCAGTCCAAAGCTTATCCTACAGAGCCTCACCAGGACTCCTTTACACCTGGTTGTTGTTGTTGCCATCGAATCGGTTACAGTGACCTTGTTTGGTGTTTCCAAGGAGCGGTTGAATACTTATCTTACAGTAGGATTCTCTACACCTAGTGATGGTGTGCCCCGGAGTCGTCTGGACTCATAGCGACCCTGTATAGGATTTCCAATGGGAGTCCTGGTGTGGCACTGTGGGCTAATGCGTCAGACTGCAAAGCCGTTTGAACTGCAAGGTCGGTGGTTCAAGCTCACCAGCTGCTCCTTGGAAACCCTACACAGGGTCGCTATGGGTCGGAATCAACTCGACGGCACTTAACAACAACAACAGCACTGGATTTCCTAGCCTGTAAATCTTTACGGAAAAAGCCTCATCTTT